GGGTTCAGGGCATCCTCCCACTTCAGCCTCCCAAGTAGCCTAAGTAGCTGGGACTATTGGCACACAGCACCACACCAGGCTAATTTTTATATTTTTTGTAGAGACAGGCTATCGCCAGGTTGCCCAGGCTGATCTCAGTCTCCTGGGCTCAAGTGATCCTCATGCCTCGGGCTCCAAAAGTTCCAGGATTATAGGCCTGAGCCATTGCCTCCAGCCATAGTCATTCTTTACTTGAGAGATGCAATCTTAGGTAGGGCCTGTTCATTCATAGGGAGGCTGATTTCCTTCTCTTATTACTAGAATTTCCTTCTCATTAGGTAGGAAACCGTGCTGACCTCTGTGGTTGGCGTGGGGATTCCTGGGCCTGGCATCCACACGAGGTCTTCTCTCCTCCATGTCTGAGTCACCCAAATTCTTCCACGTTACTTTCTGTTATCTGGAAAACTGCAAAAGTTGAATTATCAGTGTCCTTGAAACACAGCATCTAGCAGGGAAAACCCAAACACCATCAAGCCAGTCCTTCCGCCTTTGTTAACGCATTTTGTTAACTATGGGTTAAATGCAGATTTTAATCTGGAGCACAAGTGCTCAACTCTGAATGCTCAATTATGATATAAAATATTAAATTCACAATTTACCTGATTTCAAGAGATCGAATTCCCCTTTCTTTTACCCTTGCACTTTCTTGGGGTAGAGGAAATGTCATCAGTTCCCATTCAAAACTGCTGTTTGGCTTACGCCTTTAGCCAAGTTACTTAATTAGTTGCTAGGTTTCATTTTCCTCTCCTAAGAGGAAGACAAATATTGTTGCCAGGGCAAAAAGGTTTTGCCAAGGTTTTGTTAATCCAAAACCATGTACTCACCACTCTATCTGGCATTTATATAACATATCTGCCACTTATGTAGTACCCAATAGGTTGCAGTATCCTATAGTTTATAAATAATTAGTGAGCAGTTATCCCCTTATCCTACTTTCTGGAATGGAACCAAATGATTAAGCTCCCTGCTCTGTTCTACGGAATCAAGAGAAAGAAATTACATGTTTCAACAATCAGGAGGCTTGGCAACTATCAGGTGCTATTTCCTCAGGACCAGCTAGAAATTTGTAATTCTTTCTTCCTCTTCATTCTTCTACCTTGATGATTTTTGACACTGGTCCTACAAGAGGAAGAGGAAGCCCCTTTAAGGGCACTTCTCAACCCAACTCATACACATTGTGTGGGCTGGGGCTCAGGAAACAGTGGGTGACTCAGAGTCCTCAGGAAAGGGATTTTTGTGACTGTCCTTACTGAGTTAAATATTCATACTTGGAAACTGTGACTACATTTAGCATTATATGATGGGCAGCTTTTATTCTCATCAGAAAAAGGAGTCCCTTTACTTCACCCTGGGAATATTTCTCACGAGTCCCTTCCCTCATTTTATCAAACCCAGCCCTCCTGGCGCAGGCTCAGTATTTAGAATTTGTTTGTTTATTTTTAATTCTCCGAGGGGAAAATTCCTTCTTCCTCTTGTTGAAAAATCTTAAAATAGAAACCCCAGAAAATTTAAAAGAAACTAAAGAAAGGAAAAAAAAAAATGTTAGAAAAGGCAAGGAAAGGAAGGGAGGAACGGATAGGAACAGGAAATGCTGGGATCAAAAACAGACTGAAATGTTTTTTGGGGGGGGAATCAAGGCCTAAAGGACAAGAAGAAACTCGGTGATGGTCAAGATGGCCCGGGGTCAGAATGAGAGGGGCCGGTCGTCACCAGGGTGGGACGCAGGAGGCTGAGGCCAGGGGCAGGGCTGGTTTGGAGGAAGTCTCCAGGGTCCTGGAGGAGTCCCTGACCCGGGGGCCCCGCTTTCCCCGATGGAAATACGACGGGGTCAGGGAGCGCCAAGGCTGCGAGGTGGTGGGGTGACGGGGGCCTCCCGGAGAGGGTGGCAGCGAGCAGCCGGCGGCGCGTAGTGGGGTGCCGAGGTGCTCTCAAGAAGTGGGGGATGCAGGAGGTGACAGGAGGTGAGGCCGGTGGGATGAGGGGGTTGCCAGTGGCAAAAGGGGAGGGCACAGAAAGGGGAGGGGGCAGAGGAGACGGAGGTGGTGAGGGCAGAGGTGGTGATGGTTTCGGGGTGCCGGGGGGAGCGACGGGCCAGCTTAGGGGATGGGGACGCTACGGAGAGGACGGGGAGCCGAGGCGGCGGCAGGGCGCTGAGAGGGGCCAGGGGCTGAGTGGGTGATGGAAACCCGGGGTTGGGGGTCTCAGGGGACGGTAAGGCTCTGGGAGGCGCCCTGAGTGGGTGATGGGGGCGCTGGGGGCTAAGGAGGTGACAAGGCTCTGAGTGATGGGGGTCGGGGGGTTGAGGGGGCGACGGAACGCTGAGGGGCCCGGGGCAGCGGCGGGGGGCGCGGCGGGGCAGGGCAGGGACCGTCGCGGGGCCACTCACCCAGCTCCGGCGCGTCCACTCACTGCCGCCGGCGAGTGCTGGGGCTTCGGCCCAGGCAGGTCGGGGGCCCCGCCCGGCGCCGCGCACTTTCGGTTTCCGTTCCCCGCAGACCCTGGGCGGAGCCGGGCGGGCAGCCCAGAGGAGGAGGAGGAGGCGGGAGCCCAGGGTAGCGAGCGCGAGGGCCTGGCCCAGACATGGCCGGCGCCCCCGCCCTCGAGGCGGGCGTCACCTCAGCTACCCCCGAAGGCGGGGCAGGAGGGCTCAGGCGGGCGCGGCTGAGGTGAGCGGACCGTGGGAGGCGGGTCGACTGCGCCCAAGGTCTTTGCAGGCCTCGGCCGACCCCGGAGGAAGGGGGACCGGGCGAAGAGTTTAATGAGTGTTAAGCGCGACATGGCGGCGAAGCACACGAACCTGGGCGGCCCAGCGAGTACAGGGAAGAGGGCGGGGCTAGACGCGGCCTTGATAACTACAGTACTAGAGCGCCTCGGGCTGTACGGCTCGAGACTACATTTCCCAGCGGGCCCGGCGGAGACCGGGCCGGAAAGAGAGCGCCTCCGGTCCAGTGCGCAGGTGCAGGAGCCTTACCTGGTTATATAAAGGCGGTCCAGCCGCAGTTCGTTCTTTCGCGTCTGCGGTGCTCACTGAGTGGTGTTTCTGTGGGTAGCAGCCACGCTTACATACACCATCGTCTTGACCGTGGGTTCCCGTTTTGTGTGTGGTGAGTGGGAATTCCATGTTCTTAGTCCGAAACTTCTGGTCCTTTTCCTCCTTTGTGCTGTCGCCTCTGCAGTCGACCCTGGTCGCTCTCGTGGCTCCTCCGGCTCTGACCCCAAATAGGCCTTAAGGGTGTGGGAGAGGCAGGGTACGGTGGCTCACGCCTGTAATCCCAGCACTTTGGGAGGCCGAGGCGGGCGGATCAGGGGTCAGGAGTTCGAGACCAACCTGGCAAACATGGCGAAACCTAGTTTCTACTAAAAACAGAAAAAAAAATTGTTGGCAGGCACCTGTAATCCCAGCTACTCGGGAGGATAAGGCAGGAGACTCCCTTGAACCCGGGAGGCGGAGGTTGCAGTGAACCGAGACTGCCATTACACCCCAGCCTGGGCGACAGAGCGAGACTCTCAAGTTTAAAAAAAAAAAAAAAAGGGTGCCGGGCGTGGTGGCTCACGCCTGTAATACAAGTATTTTGGAGGCCAGGGCGGGCGGATCATCTGAGGTCGGGAGTTCAAGACCAGCCTGACCAACAGAGTGAAACCCCATCTTTATGTATAGAAAAAAAAAAAGGGTGTGGAAGAAATGAGTTAGAGCTGGAAAAGCCAATGCTTTCTGCACAGGCTTGAGGAGCCCTTGGCTGGTGTAAATGATGACTTGCCACTTTTTTTCCCCATCAGATCGACAATGCTGACGTTTTAAAACATTTGGCCAGTTAGTTCTGACACACCGGCTTCAAAAGGCCCGGCCTTGTTCGTTTCCGACCTTGGGAAGATGGCCGTTGACTCCCTTTATTTGTTGGTTCACAGGTTAGAGCAGCCAGAGGGGACAATGGATTTTGGAGGAGGAGGTCACCACTGGGCCCCCAAGGAAACTACGTGCAGATATCTACAACCTTCCATCTCCTGAGTAAGCCTTAGTCTCCTATGCGCCTATTGTAGAAAACACGTGCTTTGAGAACCTTTAGTTTCCTAGGTAAAACGTGGGATTTAACAAATTAAAGCATTTTCTATTGAGCACCTGTTCGGTATTTTAAAAACTGTTCTGAATGTTTTATTCTCGCAGTTTACCTATTGGACCTAGGTTTCTGGTGAAGAAATAGGTTTAAGAGGAATGCCTAAAGTGGAAAAACCTTGTTAGTGAAAAGATATCTTAACATTTTGATGCCCCTTAAGCATATTTTTGGATTGCATTCTACCTGTGTGCTTGGGCACTTACATTTCCACGTGGATGATATATTGACGTATTTTTGAAAGCCAAATGTGTTTTTCTGTTAAACTATCCAACCAATGTCCTACTGCATAACTCTGCTGGAGTCCAGGAGTGAGGCATTTAACATCTGGACCACATGGAACACACTTGAAGCTTACTGTTCCAGATTGTTGTTTTGTCTGCTGTTTGTGGCAACTTGTGTTAAAATGCAACCTCTTGGCACTTGCTCACTTAGCAACTCAGTAAATGCCGACTACTTCCTCAGCTTTATCAGCCACACTGGCTTCTATCATGGGCCTGTATTCAAATAGAATGTAGGCAGCAAAGACAGGAGGGGTGTTTATTTTGGCTACTAAATTATTGCCAGCTATAGGATAGAACATAGAAGTGCTCAAACACTGAATGCAAATTGGCAGGTATGAAGCATACCAACCAAATCTTACTCCTCATTCAGGGCTTTCAAGTCTTAATACTTAAGAGCTTCCTGCCGGCATATATGATGACTGAACTTTTTTCCCCGACAGATCGACCATGTTGATCTAACTTCTGTAAGCCAGTTTCTGTCTGATATGCCAGCTGGAGCAGCTCTTCTGTCCCAGCTTCCCTGGGCATCTAGCTGACGGGAGCTCATTTTTCTGTTTTTTCATCTCAGGTTTGCTGTTGGCCAAAACCAGGCTTTGATTGGACCAGGATGAATCTGGGTGTGGGAAATAGAATATATATGTAATTGGTAAGTGGTGGCAACACATCTTGCTTGGCTGACTAGGCATAGGCTCTGTGGAGGGGGGTTTTCAGTGTGGGTTTGTCACCCTACTTGTATGACTCAAATGTGGCCTTTGCAGCTGATGACACAGCTTTTTTCCCCATCAGATCGACCCTGTTGATCTCTACACTATTGGCCAGTTTTGTCTGATGCATTGGCCCCAGTAATAACTCCTGTCTTTATTTTTTGCTTACCTTTATCAGACTATTGCTTCTTGTTGATTAGAAGTGGGCTTACTCTTTTTTTCTACCATTTGGGTAGCTTATTTTGACCTGTTATCTTTCTATAGGTTGAGCCACGTGTGCCAGTGTGTTGTCAGCTTGATCTTTGCTTGATTCATTCTGCCTTGTAACAGGTGAGGTTTCTGTTTTCTGTCAGCTGCAGCCAAATTTGTCCAGTTGGGCCTAACTTCTGGACCCATTTCCAAGTTAGATATAAAGCTGGGAGAATAAGTCATTGGCCTGTTGGTACCAACAGGTCTTTGTTGGAAATAAGAGCTTGGAGTTGCAAAGAAAAGCACTCCAACAAAAGATTTCTCAGCAAGGCAAATTTGCTTCTGCCAGAGGGTGCTGCTCACACTCCTGGCCACAAGAGCATGCCGAGCAAAGGACAGAAGGGACTTACCCCTAAAGCAACTATTCCCTGCTTCTGTCTCCTATCCCCATTGGTTGGAGTGGGAATGCACAGTCTAAACTAGTACTGATTGGCTATTTTAAACAGGAGAGGTGTAGGCTACAGCAGCAGAAAGGGCAGTTTCTGCAGGAAAGTGGCAAGTGTTTACAGAGAGGTTTGCTAGGAGTGACGGGGACTTGTCCAAATAAGGAGCAGATGTGGGTTATAGGTTGGGATTGGTGGGAGAAGTTTCACTGTTTTAGCCAGGATGGTCTTGATCTGACCTCACGTGATCCACCCACCTCAGCCTTCCAACGTGCTGGGACTACAGGCATAAGCCACTGTGCCTGGCCCCATCTTATTTCTTTACAGGTAATACCGGGGTGTTGCAGGAGGACATAGAGCATTCAGGGAGTCCATCCTGAATGAGACTTCCAACTACAGGCTTTCCCAATCAGCATTCTCTTTGAAGTGACCCACTCTTCTGCATGTGAAACATTTGTTTTCTCTTCTTTGTCCTGCACTGTGACCTCCAGGTTTCATTTGCCTATTCCCTGTATATGGTTTAGTCGCTGGTGGCCTAGAGGATTTATCAGTTCTATTTCCTTGTGTCCTCTATTGCAGAGTTCCCTGTTGTAAGGTGGACAGCATAATTTTTGCCCTTTGTTTCTGCTTCTCTTTGTCCCTTCTTTTGCTTTATGCATGTCTAAGTTTGTCTATAGGACGGTCTTTCTAATTTTCTATCTTAAGTTGTTTTTTTAGAGATGTCTGGCCAACTATTAGTAACAGAATGAAGCTTTAGCATCCCTTGCCTCAGTGGGTCTTGCATCTCTAAACATGCTTATTTTCTCATCTGTTCTTTAAGCTTATTTAGGAATTCCATGGGTCCTTCTTCCTTACAGTTGTCGAATGCTTGGGAAATATTCTGGGTACCAACTCACGAATTCCCCTATCATATCTCTAAAGTCTTACATTTTCTCAGTGAGCTGCATTGTTTACTGTCCCATTGGAGATCTTTGGCCAGGAATTTTTGTTCGGCAGCAGGAACATTTTGACCAGGAGGCTGTTCACATTCCCAGACTACCATAGCCCTATGGAATGTGGTGGTTCTCCCAAGAAGAGAATGCCTAAAATAGACGTAAGCTTGGCCCAAGTATACAACTGGAATCCTAAAAATTGATCAATGTGATCTGCTTACCCCATAAGGGTCATCTCATAAGGGCTTGAGTTCTTTTTTTAGATTTTGGACTTGGTTAAGGGGGCATTTATGAAGCTGATGCCACTTCTCTTGAGGGGAAGAGAGTTGGGGCTGTTTCCTTGGAGGTGGAGGGGAAAGGAAAGTTCAGAATATCCTTCTTACATTGTTCCTTTGTTGTATTTCATGCTCAATTTCCCCTGATGGAGGCACATGCTTTGAGTATATGGCTAAGGGAATGTGGGGCATTGATTTGGGATTAGATGGGGTAGGGACTGAGTAGGGGCGTCCTGTATGCCTGCTTGAGGCAGGGGATTTGATGCAGCCAGGTGGTCTACTAGGCCCCATGTTAGCAGGCTGTTTGGGGGTAGAGACCTTAACTCAGAGGAGTTGGCTTTTGGAGATTACTTTTCCTTTCTCTACATGCTCAAACTCCCGCCCCTGCCCCATCCCCGCCCCCCCCCCCCCACCCCGCCACTGGAGGTTTCTTGCACTCTTCTCCTTTGCTTTATCCTTCTCTGATTGCTTCTCTGTAGGGAATATTTCAGGTCCCTCTTAGTGTTGGTGTGTGAGTATAAGCCCCAAGAGAGAATCCACCATAAGCTATATGAGGTGACCACCGAACTGCAGATCCAGACTCAGCACTCAATTGTGCATCTCATTCACACACCTTCAACCTTCAGAATGTCCTGACCACCAAGAAAATACTTTGTCGCCTCCATGACTTTTCTTACCTTAGTCTGTGGAGAGTTAGCTGGTCCCCGTGTTATGTGAGGATCTTCTGCCTGTGTTGAGGGTGGGATCCAGTCTGTTGGTGAAGCCACCACAACAAGGTGGTGGGATGCCTTTATATAACAGTCTTGTAAAGGATGACAGTGACTGAACATTGGATGGGGCTAATTTTCCTTGGCAAATGCACTTAGTAAGATAAGGAGCTCCAAGTCGTTTTAAATTGGGATTCAATTGATCCATACTTGTGTACTTGTATGAACCACCCTCAGCTCCTGGTTACATGGCCTCTTAACATGGCAGCTTTGTCAAAATGAGCAGACCCAGGAGACAGACACAGCAGACAGGTGTTAGAAGTCTACACCTTTAAGTCCTTTAAGAGAAAGTACCACTACTCCTTTTCTGTGTCTCTTGGGGACACTTAACCTCTATGTCTGGTGACATGGCTGGAATTTACAGCAGATAAGCATACTGTGGTCTGAGTCACCATGATTGTATGTTGTTTCTGCTGACCTTTACAATAAGTTATGCTAACACAAAAGCTGTTTTACCAGATTCCTGTGTTGCATCATCCTCCCAATTTGCCTAGTGTCCTAGGAAGGGGAATACACAGGGGAAGGGGCATGTTCCTAGTGTCCTAGGAAGGGGAATAGGTGTGGCTCCTGATAATTCAACTTTTATTATAAACTAAAACCTCAAAACCCACAGAAATGGTGGTTCATAGTTGATGTTGGTGAGTGATGACTCATCTTAGAAATTTTTTTTAATAATTTTTTTCTTCTGCCCTCCCCTCAGAAGTCTATTGTTTATGGATGTCTGAATGTGCATAGTTCCCTGAAGTCCCAACATTCATGAGTTCTTGCATGTAACAATGATCCTTATGAAGTCATTTTGAGATAAAGGTTAGAACATTTTGACAGCACAACATGGGCTTCAGTAAACTACAGACTTAAAGTTGTCTTAGATATTGGAAGTGTCCCAGCTCCTTTGATCAATATTTTGTTGTATACCAAAATAGATGGACTTGGACTGACCAGGTCTTAGCCACATACATGTTTTCATGCCCTAAACAAGAAGCACTATAGTCCGGAATGGAGCACTGATTGCAGTCCAACTTCTTTTTTAGAAATTGGTGGTGGAATATGAGAGGAGGCTCTGGAAAGAAAAGGACAGACCTGTGCTTCCATGAAAGTGAAGAGCTGGCTGAACCAGTTCGACAAGATTGTTGTGGACATAGCTGTGCCCACTTGGAAGAGTCATTGTTAGATCTTGGGGAAATTTCTAACTTTTTAAGAAAATAAAATCTTTGAAGTAAAAATGCTATTGTTTTTGTCCATTGGATATAACCATTGAACATGAATAACAAGTAGCAGTTAGGTATTTGCAGTTTCATTTGGTTTTAGGCTTTTGAGGGGAGAATCACTAGTGGGCCGTTGGCTTCTGCCTCATGAGTGGCTTCTGCAAGCACACTTGGGCCAGAAGTTCAACTCCAGGTGCAGAGAAGAAGAGGGTATGCTTACATCTGCTCAAGGTTGTATATATTATCATGGACCTGTGGTTACATGAGGCAAATAAGGGTGATTTGGTCTATGCTATTTGTGTTTATAAGCTTCATAGGAAATTGCAAAAACAGACTGCATCATTTATCAATATGTGATGAATATTTTGGTTTTATTTAATACACAGTGAATAATTTTTTAAATACCTTGAAATACCACCTGAAAGATGGGACTCTACATTTCTAAAATGGCTCCTGGTATTGACTCAGAATCCCCTCCCCTTAATTAGTCTGGACCTAGTGTAACTTCTGAGACTTGCTACCTCTTTTTCTCATTCTCCTTGGCTTGCTCACTTTTAATTAAGCAGCCATGTTGGGAGAGGCCAATGTAGCAGGCAACTGAGGGGGAGCCATTAGTGTGGGAGGAGTGAGCAACCATGTGAGTTTGTAAGCATGTTTTACCAGAGAGGAGGCATGACAGCCACCCCAGAAAACCCCTTGAAGATGCCCGTGAGAAACAGCAGGACCCACCCAGACTGCCTGGATTCCTGACCTGTGGGAAATGTATTTCAAGCCACTAGGTTCTGAGGTAACTTGCTACAAAGCAGTAAATTCTGAATTCCACAATGAGATCCCCACTCTAAAAGTCTTGACTTGAGAGCATCTCTGTTACCTAAGTTAAGTCAGCTGACGCTACTTCAGTTTCTCGGCACAGCATTCAAAGCTGTTGGCTGGCCAACAACCTACATTTTCAGATTTGTGCATTTGACTTAACATGTCCGAAGCTGAATGCCTGATGCTTTACTCCCCTAACCCCAGTCCCTGCAAATCTTCCTACAATCTTCCCTTCCCAGGTATTGGCAACACCAGCAGTCCAGTTGGTCAGGAGCTGTGCAATCAACCTCGTGTACCATGTGAAACCCTTGGCTAATCCTATTGGTTCTATCTTCAAAATACATCTGAAACCCACCCTGTCTTAGTGTCTTCATTGCTACCATCTTGATCCAAACTATTATCATCAAACAGGTTTGGAATACTGGTCTCTACTTCAGCCTTTGCTCCTGGTAATGAATTCAGAGGCAACCAGAGTGATCTGTCAAAACCTGAATTAGGTATGGAGTTCTCTTCTCAGTAGCCTCCAGTGTCTCTCCACCTCACAGGAAAAGCCAAAGTATCAGGTCTTATGTGATCTTCCTCTTCCCTTAACCTCTAGCTTCATCTCTTCCCTTTCAATCTGAGTCAGCCACATGGGCCCCTGACTTCTCTATTCCTTTAGGGTTACTCCAACCTCAGTGTCTTAGCACTTGTTTTTCCCTCTGCCTGGAATGATCTCCCTTGTGTCATTCAGGTATTTGCCCAAATTGCCCTTCTGGGGACCTATCTAGTCATCTTTCCTATCACTTTCTATTCCCTTACCTTGTTTTTGATTTATTTTTTTAAAATAGAGACAATATGTGTTGCTCAGGCCGGTCTCAAACTTCAAAATAAGCTCTGTGCAAATGGCCTCCCAGAGCCGCCTGCCACTTTCTTCTGCCAGGCCTGGCATCTCCATTCTGGCATGGACCATGGTCTGCTGTCATTTCCACAGCAATTGCAAGAAATTGCCAAATGCGTTTTCTGTGACTTCCAGGTGAATGACTGTCCGGACCTGCAGGACAACAACAGGAGCTCGAAGGGAGGGAGTGGGGATGGATGGGCAGGAGACTCGAAGAATGGAGACAAGACAGGAGTCTGATCAAGTCTCGTTTATTGTTGCTAAGCTCATAGCTTAAATAGGGGCAGGCAGAGAGGCCGGGCAAAGGAAGCTTGCAGTTCCAAGAAATTCCGAAACTTATCAGCAGGAAACAGAAACTGAAACATTACTGAAACTTATCATCGGAGAAACAGAAACTGAAACATTACTGAAACTTATCAGCCGGGAAACAAAGACTGAAACTTGTCAACAGGGAAACAAAGACTGAAACTTGTCAACAGGAAACATTAAACTGTAACTTGTCAACAGGAAACGTTAAACTGCAAACCACAACATGGCTGAGCAGATCACAAAATGGCGGCTATTGCTGCCCACAAATGACCCTGTTAAAAATGAAATAACAAAAGCAATTTCTTAATTAAAATTACAAAACAGAAAAAAAAAGAAGTCACTCTTGGAGGAAGCTGGGTGGAGGGGATTTGATATTCTACATAGTATTTTTGCATTTCTCTGTGAATCAATAGTTATTTCCAAATGTTTAAAAAAAATTTTTTTTTGCTTTAATTTTTTTATGCTAGGTATAGAACTCAAGAAAACTTTATTACTAAAGCAGAAAAAAACAAACAAAAACCAACAAAAACCAAGCAGAATAAGTGGTCCACTGTTGAAGGAAGTACAGAAGAATAAAAATCAGAAAACACTGACACAACTCACTCCGCTGTTGAACCTTATTTTGTTTTATATACTTCTAGGTCTTTTTTTTTTTTTTTTTTTGAGAGGAGTCTTGCTCTTGTCGCCCAGGCTGGAATGGAATGATGCATTCTCAGTTCACTGTACCCTCCACCTCCCAGGTTCAAGCAATTCTCCTGCCTCAGCCTCCCAAGTAACTGGGACTACAGGTGCCCACCACCACACCCAGCTAATTTTTGTAGCTTTAGTAGAGATGGGGTCTTGCCATGTTGGCCAGGCTGATCTTGAACTCCCAACCTCAAGTGATCCACTTGCCTAGGCCTCCCAAAGTGCTGGGATTACAGGCGTGATACTTCACTTTTTTTGCAATGAGAACACAAAATCTCTTAAGCAGTTTTTAAGTACACAGTATCTTGTTATTGACTATAGTCACCGTGATGTACAATAGAGCTCTTGAAGTTACTCCTCCTCTTTAACTGGAATTTTGTACCCTTTGATCAATATCTCCTGAACACAATTTTTTCTGCTCCTCTCTGTGACTATGACTTATATGTGTAGATACCCCATAGAAGTGACAGCATACAGCCTGGGCAACACAGTGAGATTCTGGTTGTTTTTTTTTTTTTTTTTTTGAGACCGTCTCACTCTGTGGCCCAGGCATGATCTCAGCTCACTGCAATTCTGCCTCCTGCGCTCAGGTGATCCTTCCACTTCAGCCTCCTGAGTAGCTGGGATTACAGGTGTGCACCACCACACCCGGCTAATTGTTGTATATTTTGTAGAGATTGGTTTTGCCAAGTTGCCCAGGCTAGTCTTGAACTCCTGGGCTCAAGCAATCTGCCTGCCTCGGCCTCCCAAAGTGCTGGAATTTCAGGCGTGAGCCACCATGCTCAGCTGAGACTCTTTCTACAAAATAAAAAATAAGAAAATTAGCCGGACATGGTGGTTGCCTATAGACCCAGCTCCTCGGGAGACTGAGTTGGGAGGATAACTTGAACGCAGGAGGAAATAAAGTAGGGCCAGGTGTGGTGGCTCATGCCTATAATCCCAGTACTTTGAGAGGCCGAGGCAGGTGGATCACTTGAGGCCAGGAGTTCGAGACCAGTCTGGCCAATGTGGTGAAACCTCATCTCTACTAAAACTACAGAAATTAGCCGGTAACGCATTTCTGTAATCCCAGCTACTTGGGAGGCAGAGGTTGCAGTGAGCCGAGATCACACCACTGCACCCCAGCCTGGGCACCAGAACAAGACCCTGTCTTTAAAAAAAAAAATAGGGGAATGGGAAAGAAAGTTACTGGAGGGTTATTGATTACAATATTCAGGGAAGGCTTCTCTGAGGATGTGACCTGTGAGCCAAGATCTGAAGGATGAATAGGAGCTGGGTACAAGAACATCTGAATGGGATGAGCATTCTGGGAGTGCGAACAGAAAGTGCAGAGGCTCAGAATGAGAATGAACTTGGCAATGCTACACAGAACATTCTTCTTTAGCTGCTGATAAACTTGTTCATGATAAACTTGGCCCCAGACACACAAAACAGACATCAGTTAAACACTTACCAGGCCTGAACTCATGTTAAAGTAGAATAAAAATGTAAAACTCCAGACATTTCCATAAACACTCAACATGCTTCATTTGCTTAGGAGGAATTTTCCTCATCTCTAAATCGTGGGACTCCAGTTTCTCAAACTCTCTGCCAGGAAGGGAAATTGAGCTGGAAAGTTAACCATCAGAGAAAGTTAAGCACCTGGCTTCACCCAGCTTTATCATTTATCAGTGGAGCCAGCTAGACATTTGGCTGAAAACGGGAAAAATAACTTGCCTGTGTGTCTAATGGTTCCATATGCATTTTGGGTTGGGTGGCATCCAGAAGCAGCTGGAAAAATGCCAGTTGTATCAAGCATTCATCTCTTCTCTCTGATTGTATCAGGGAGCAGTAAGGTACCCATGTGACTTCCCAGCCACTCAGGAAGTCACATGGGTACCTTACTGCTCCCTGATTTAGCTCTGTCTTAAAAATTTCTTTTTTTGTTTTTCTTTTTTCTCTCTTTTTGAGATGGGAGTCTTGCTCTTGTTGCTCAGGCTGGAGTGAAATGGTGCAATCTCAGCTCACTGTAATCTCCACCTCTCGGGTTCAAGCAATTCTCCGGCCTCGGCCTCCAGAGTAGCTGGGGTTATGGGTGGCCACCACCATGCTCAGCTAATTTTTTGTATTTTTTAGTAGAGACGGGGTTTCACCATGTTGGACCAGGCTGGTCTCAAACTCCTGATCTCAGGTAATCCACCCGCCTCAGCCTCCAAAGTGCTGGATTAAAGGCATGAACCACCATGTCTGGACAAAAGAAAATTTCTTAAGATATAAACACACACAAAAGGCAAAAGGAAGGCAACTTGAGGAAGTGGCTAGATCACCATATTGGACTTCACAGAATCTG